AAATGCCAATCAAACCACCATGAGATACCACTTCACACCCACTAGGATGGTTATAATAAAATCTAAGGAAAGAAATGGAAAATAACAATTGTTAGGGAGGTTGTGGAGAAATTGGGACCCTCATACACTGTTGCTGGGAATGTAAAAATGTAGCCACCATGGAAAACAGTTTGGCACTTCTTCAAAAAGGTAAATGTAGAGTTACCATATAACCCAGCAATTCGACTTCTAGGTATTCATATACCCAAAGGAATTGAAAACATGTTCACACAAAAACTTGTACATGAGTGTTCATAGCAGCCTTGTTCATAATAGCCAAAAAGTGGAAACCACCCAAGTGTCCATCAGCTGATGAATGGATAAACAAAATGTGGTACACATATCCAGTGGGATATCATCTGGGAATAAGAAGGAATGACGTAGTGACACATGCTACAACATGGATGAATTAACGTCACATTATGCTAAGTGAAAGAAGCCTGTCACCAAAGATTACATCTTGTGTGATTACATCTGTATGAAATGTCCAGAATAGGCAAATTCATAGAGATAGAAAATAGATTAGTGGTTGCCAGGGATTGGAGGGAAGGAGGAAGTGTCGTGAATGAGAATAAGGTTATTGGGGGGGAGCCAATGAAAATATTCTAGATAGATAGTGCTGATGATTGTACAACTCTGTGAATAGACTAAAAACCACTGAATTCTACTCTTGAAGAGGTTGAATTTTATGATATATGAATTATATCTCAATAAAGCTTTTTTATATACACACAGAAGTCAGTAGGCAGGATCCTTAAAGAAGCCATCACCCCTTCTTCCTCCTCCAGGGAAGCGTCCTCCTCATTGCCACCTGGATATTGACATATAGGCCCTTACCAGCCGTGGGCCCCGGGTTCCTGAAAACTCCATTGGCAAAATAATTCTTGGTTTAAAAACTTTAACTTTCTAGAAAAAGTAGAGATACAGGGTTTGCATTCATAAATGATCCTATTTTTAGGTTCAATAAAGTAAAGACAAAACATGAAACAGAGAGACTAGTAATAACTTATGATATGTATTGTTATAATAATAAGCATTGTCAAATTAATTTATTTTTGTAATCCTTTGCTTATTAGAAACTTTTCAGGGTCCTTCCCACACAGTTTCAAGGAAACGTACGTGGGTTTGTTTTTCTTTCTTGCACATGATATAAGAGGCATTTTTTTCCCTGCCTGTGCCTCTCTCCAAATGTTCACAGTTTTTCTGGTGTTATTTATGGCACCCAAATTGTTGACTATTGACTCTCAGGCCCTTCCATGGCCCCAGGAGGCACAGAGCAACTTAGACGCTTAAGATGGTCCAACTCTTCGTAATGTTTGTTTAACCACTCAGCTCTACTTCAAAGACTCTTCTCAGCTTAGAATTTAATAAACATTTATTGAGCCCCCACTGTGTGCCAGACACAGGATGAATGAGAGGCAGCACCTGTCCCCATAGAACTCACCGTCCAGTCTTCCCTTGCCCAAGGGCCATGTGGGTAGGCCACTCCTGCAGCCACTGGGCGGGGCAGAGGGCTCAGGTTTTCCCTCAGCTGCCTTTCTCTCTCTCAAGGCTGCAGTGCAGGAAGGAGGAGGGTGCGTCAACCTTGGTTCCTTTCTACAGTGTTCCTCACCTTCTTTTTCTGTTCCCAGCCCCCACTTCCCTCTTCTAATTAGCCTTCAGGAAAGACTCTGCAGCCAAGATTCTGGTGGTTGAATAAAAAGACTAGAATTTTACATAAAGGGAAGGAAGGGCCCCGAGGTTGACAGATGATGCCATACTTGTCCTCGCATGTGAGAGTTTGTCATTGGTGTACAAGGAACATAATAACTGAATACAGTAGACAGTTTCACATAGGCATCATCCTGCATGATTTTCAGAAATCTTAGGGAAATCAGAGGGGGGTAGCAAAATATTAATGTAGTTTTTGCATTCTGTTCATTAATTTTTAATGAGAAAACATTCTCAAAATGCATCTTTTCCAGTTTGAATTTTGATTCTTTTTATATCTAACCAAGGCTGAGAGTGTTCTCTGAGTGTTGGGGCAGCAGGCACTGCCCTGCTGTAGCACCCTCAGCCCCCAGCAGCTCGTGAGGGGGGAGGGAGGCAGGGTCAGGCCTCACTCAGTCAGGACCCTTGGGTAATGGGTGAGGCGTTTGTGCTCATCAGTCTTTGCAACGCTCTCGTCTCCTATGCCTTAGTTTTCTCTTGTATGAAATGGGATAATCGTGCGTGTCTCATGTACCTTACAGGCCTATGTGAAGTTGAAAGGAGGTGACAGAGGCCTTGACAGCCCAGTGTACTGAGTCTAGGGCTGCCACATGGTTGTGGTGATGGAGAGGACGAGGCATTTCCCTGAAATATGGAACTAGGGCTGTGTGGCATGTAAGCGCTCTTTGGGCCTCTTTTTATTACCTCTGAAGCCTCACTCCTGTTAAAATCCGACTTCTCTGCAGGCCTTGGGTGTGCCATTTACACAGCCTTCACTCAGGACCTGTATCTTGGACAGTGGGGTCTTCCACCTTGTCGCCCTTCATTTCCCTTCATATGCCCCCTAACCATTCTGTCAAAGGGCTTAGGGACTGAAAGAATAGAAATGAAGCTTTAGTAATGACCCATAGGAAGACAGCCTCCCTTCCTTCCCCCGTCCTTACTGCAAATGGCTGATTCTGGTATCTCATCTGTATCTCATTGCACCAACTTATATTTACAATTGAGCAGCATCAGAACCGTCCAGTGCAGAACTGGTAAAGTCAAATGCTCAAGCTCCATCTCTGACAGCTCCTTTTAATAGCTGGATGGAGAAGTAAGTGTCTCCTCACGGATATTAGAGGCAGTGATGTCTTGAGGGAGCAGTGCTGTGCTTGCCCCTCCTCAGTACCCCCTCTTGCAAAGTTAGAGTTAATTCTTTCCATCTGGACAGTTTCTTTCCTTTCCTCCTCCCGCCTGCCCATTTCTCTTTTATGCTTCTTCCCTCTTCTTTCCTCTCCCAGCTCAACATCTCATCCTTTCCCTTACATCTATAAAGGAAGTGATGAAATGTTCAGAGAAGAGGAAATGGACCCAAATGCCCCTCATCTCCTCTTCTCCTTTGAGGCACACGGTAGACTCTCACAGACTCCGAAGGCAGAACCTGTTGTAATTCCTGGTGACATCAGGGTGGAGAAAAGGAAACTAATGGCTCTGAGTCTGGCCGCCAGTCCTTTCTGCATGCTACTGCTAAAGCCACATGTATCTCCCCAGCGAGCCTACTGTGTTCCCACCACTGGGGGCCTGCCTGCCTCCCCCTTTCTGCTGTTCCATATCAGGGGATTTCCTTGAATGCAAATAGCAGAAATCGACTTTGGCTAATTTAAGTGAAAACAGCAACAAAAAGCCTCGCCAGGCTGTGTGGTTTCTCTTCAAGCTGAAGGCAAAGCGGATGGTCCCCATTTCAGGGGAGCCAGAGCTGCCCCAGGGAGCAGCATGGCAGGGACCAATGGGCAGTGTCCTTGGACACCACTGGGAGGATTAGCCTCAGCCATTTGCTGCTTGGCTGACTCCTTTCAGGATTCCGATTCTCAGGAAGATCTCCAGGGTCCACCTTGCACTCCTTGACTGTGGGCTAGTTTACTAGACTATAGTCTCCAACGAAAACCAAAGCATTTTTACAAGAAGGGTGAGTGGCTGCTGAGGAGCCAAAAGTGATGAAGTCCACTATGCATTTCCTCATCAGACACTTATTTAGCACCTACTGTGTGCCAGGCCCTCTGTTAGCTACAGAGAGTGTGAAGTTCTGCAGTGGGACCAGGCCCATCTCTCCTCTCAGGGTCCACCCACACTGAACCCGCTGAAGTTTTCCACATGCACTCCCTCTTGCCATAAGTCTTTGCTCAGGTCCTTCTCGCTGTCTGGGTGCCCTTCTCCCACTGTTCACCTGTCAAAATTAAGTCCAGGCATCACCACCTGTGGAAGCCTTTCCTGACCCCCAACCCCCAGCGCAGCATGCCTTTCCAGACTCTCTCTCATGGATCCTTTTCCACTCATTGCTCTCATTGTTGTTCATGTCTGTCCCTCTGTTATGGTCTACAGGCTCCATGAGGTTAAGGTCCCTATACGAGTCATTTCTCTATCTCTAGCACCTTGCCCACTTTCTGGTTGACACGCCATCAGTGTATGTTGAATGGGTGAATGTTGTGTGAGGCCAAACAGGATGGCACTGGTAATGGGAGATGAGGTGGCCCTGCCCTTACTTGAGACTCCCCGATGGTGTCTCAATGCTTTTGTTATACTCATTGGGACTGTGGTGGTGAAAGAAAGAAAAATAAACAGATCACTAGGTAAAGCTCAAATAAACTCTGTGTTACTTTTATTTGTTTTGGTAACGCTATTACCAAAATAGGGGGGTCGGGAGACCTGAGTTCTAGTCTGTATCGTATTACCAACTACCCCTGAGATCTCAGGAAAATCCCTGCACTGGTCTGGGTTCCACCTTCCTTATCTTTCAAATGAGGAGTTGACTGGTGTGAGGGGCTCCTTGCAACACTGATTTTCGGAGTTCATGGAGAGAGGAGTAGATTACTGAGCTTCGAGAGCATCGCAGAACTCTGGGTGCGACTCACGGCCAGTGGGCCCACCTCGTGGGCGAGTTCCCCTGGCTTCCCTCAGGCAGTCCCTTCTGTTCAGGTCAGGTGGCACTTGGGCTGTGTCCCATCCCATCCTGCATTCCCATTGTCCATCCCAGAGCCTCACACAGAGCTCAATTCACAGCTCTTTTCATGGTTAAAATCCATCAGTCATCAAAACCCACTTTCACTTTTTGAGCCATCACTGCAGAAGCTGGTGGTGAGATTCAACCATCCCCATCTTGTTTTCAGAGTGCTCTTGAAGAGCTGGGCTTCGCCCTCTCCCAGCCTTCCGGGCTCTTGTCTTCGACTGTTGCCTATCAGGATTGCAAAAAAGGAAAGGAACTCTGAAGCCCGCTCTCTTGCTTCTTCCCACAGGTCACCAAGGAAAACAGAAACCACCTTTTGCCAGATATTGTGACGTGTGTGCAGAGCAGCAGGAAGTGACAAGGATTTGTGTTCTGCTTTTCTGCACGTGAAGGAATGTGCCAGCTCAAGAGGAGCCTGAGCAATGCCCTGCCTGTCAGAGTTTCATGTCTTCAATGTATGGAACCTTGTGGGCTTTTCCAAAGAAAGCCTGACAGCTGGTTTCCATAAAATGTTTAAAAGATCAAATTAGCCCTAATGCTGGATTGACTCTACAAGATTAACAATCCATTGTGGCTTATTTATGCTGAGAGATTTCTGTTTATTTCCTCTTGCAGTTGTGCATATGATTTGGGTAAATTACGAAATGAGAAATGGTTTTCAGAGTATTAGATGGAATTTGCCCCCATTGAAGTTTATACATGTGTCCAGGGAAGGGGGAGGAAAGAGTCCACTGCCTAATCAATTTTGTGTGTCATGAAAATTAACTCCCTCTCCAGGTGCAGCTGCAGTCTCCTGCAGCTTAAAGTGGTAACAGTTCATTGATTTTCAAAAATTATTATTTCAAAAGAAAACCATTTTAGGTCCTCCCCCCACCCACCTCTTATTGTTTGTTTGCTTATTGCTTAATAAAATAAAAATAAATGTGATGGTTACAAACATGTCAGTTCTTCTGTGGGAGGGATAAATGGTCTTTAGAAATGTTGATAGCAGTTGATACTCAGCAGGGTCAGGCCTGTGGGTACAGATGAGAGCCCCATTTTGGCTACGTCAACTTAGACATATTCTTAAACCTTTTTGTGCCTCGTTTCCCTTCCAGAAAAAGGGAGAAATGAGTGTTGTCAAAGGAAGGCAGTGCCACAGCATGGAAGGAAACCATCTTCAGCCATCCGTGTGATCCCTGGAGAGTGCCCAGTGCCAGGGGCTGGGCTGACAAGGATAATGGTGTAGAAGGATAAGGTTCAGCTCACTGCAGGGCACTGTAGAAAAGACTGCTGAAACTCCAGAGTTCGTAAATGATAAAAACTGCCCTCTGAGTGGTTGATGGTAGGGGAGTGATAATCAGTTCAGTGTATTTAGATCATTTTTGGTGAAGATCTCTGAATTTCCAGGATTTTTTAGCAACGAGCATCAGCTACAAACCCAGCTGGTGTTAGTACGGAGTGTGCCCCTATCTAACCATGGACCAGTCCAGGTGTGTTGGAGCAAGGTGTCCCGTGAGCTGAGCACTGGGCGTGGTGGACAGTGCAGGAAGCATTACAGTCTCTAATCCCATACAGCAGTTTGCAGCCTGTGACAGGCTCTTCAAGTCAGTGTATTTCCTCAGTGCTTTCTCCCAAGGTAGGTTTCTGAACCTTGGTCTAGATTTGCCAGGCCTTTGAGGAATCACAGCTAAAAGGCCTAATAGATTATGAACTAATCTTTTAAAAAGGGTGTTTTGTCCAGTGTAAGGAAGAGGATATCTCTGTCCCACTGTCTCTGCCCAGTTGGGTTGTTCAGGGAGGCGGAGCTCATGACATCTAACAGGCTGGGTGTGACTTCAGCCACACTCACCGGGACAGGAGGCACACCGAGCAGTGTGGTCTGTGAGCTTCAGCGGGCTGGGATGGCCACTGCCTCTGAAGCAGGTAGAGGCTTCTCACAAGGCCGGGAACCCGACCCCTACAATAAATCTACTCTTATCCGACTCTCACCACCCTGAGCGAGCCCGACTCAGCCCTCAGGGGAACTGAGAAAGAGGGAGGCAGGCTGGGGAGATGTTGGCTACGTGCTCCCCCGAGACAGGCCCAGTGGAGCTGGTCTGCCCCAGTGAAGTGGGACCCCCATCAGGATGGAGGCTTTACCGGTGCTTCCAGGAAGGGGCTCTGTATTTATGAGGATTCTCATCCATCTGAAGTGTGAAGGGACATTTTCCTTCCACCACTTGTCCTTTTGAGCTCAGTGTTTTCAGTCAGGATGGCTTTGTAGGTTTGATTTTGCCTTAACTTGGAAGGAAGGCTAATGAGATTTATTTAGAGAAGGTAAGACAGTTCGAGGGCCCTTAGAGCTGAAGCCCAGTGTGCTTATGGAGGGTAAGAGTGTTAGCATCTCAGAAGATCCACGGTGCAGAACAGGTTCGGGACGGCCACTAGCATTAGGGTGCTGGGAGCTTCTGCACGTGCTCTTTAATGGGAAAGAAACAAGCTTATAGTGGCAGATAAGGATTTGAACCCAAGTCTGTGTGGCTCCGAAGCCCATGCTCTTTCGACTCCTCCCACTGTGTCCTCCCGCTGTGTCCCAGGCTGGCTGGCTTTTCCAGTGCATCATGTGCCCCCAGACCTCAGAGCTGACATTTAGCTGTGACAGATGGTAGCTGCTATAGATTGAAAGAGCATCTAGTGTTCACTGGGAATGATTACTGTATGACTGTCAAACAGAATGATCAGGGAGCATGTATGAAGCTGTCAGATGCAATCCCTGTATTTTAAGAAATGAAATTTAATAAAGGATAATGTTATGGTCTGAATGTTTGTGTCCTCCCCACAAATTCATATGCTGAAATCTAGCCCCCAGTGTGATGGTATTTGGAGGTAGGCCTTTGGGAAGTGATTAGGTCATAAGGCCAGAGCCCTCATGAATGGGATTAATGCCCTTATAAAAGAGACCCCAGAGAGCTCTCTCGCCCTTTCTCCGTGAGGACCGTGAGAAGACATCTGTCTGTGAACTAGGGAGCAGGCCTCACCAGACACTGAATCTGCCAGCACCTTCGTCTGAGACTTCCCAGCCTCCACAACTGTGAGAAATAAATGTTTGTTGTTTGAGCCACCTAGTCTATGGTGTCAGGTTAGATGAATTCACAAATAACTCGAACTCAGGGCCAAAGGTGCCCGCCTGTAGAGCAGCATGCTGCTGAGGTTTAAGGGAGGAGGCGCTGCTGAGGCAGGAGATGCTGAGGCAGAACACGTTTGGGGTCCACTCACTTACTGAGCACAGCCAGGACCAGAGGAGGAGACTGAGCACTGTGTCCATGCTCGTGCCACCAACTGAGATGAGGAGCACTCAGAGAGAAAGGGGGGGCGGGGGCGGGAATTCTCTTTTATACCTAAGTTTGAAATGTCTACTGTTTAAACAAATCCAGATACCTAACAGGTAAGTGGGTATGAGTCCAGACTTGAAGGAAAAATTCCTGTCAAAAAGCACAAAATTGGCATATTTATTGCTGGTATGAGGAATTTAACCTAGATTAACATGGGTGGATGAGACAAAGAACTGATCTGGAGAATGGACTGACTTACTAAATCGTTCTTTCCTCTTCCCCATAACAGATTGTACCACCAGCCACTGAACACACAGTATTTTAAAAACTGTTTCTTTTCACCTCTGAATAAGAGTAAGCACACGTAGGAGATGGACAAGTCTTTTAAATTCACAGAATATAACCTCTCTGCTTATCATGGCTGACAGGAACAGGTCTCTACTAAAGTTGCAAGTTCAGTCGTTCACTCCATTCCCAGCCCTCAAATCATCAAGCATGGGGTAGGGGTTGATGGGAGCCCGGGAAATGTGGAATGGGCCTTGCCTCCTCTCTCTCTCTAGCTCGGTATTCATAGAAGCTTGTGTCTGGGAAGTGTGCATGCGTGCGTGTGTGTGCGTGTGTGTGTGTGAGAGAGAGATGATGGCAGGTGTGTGTGTCCCTGAAGCATAATGACTTGGGACAAAACAGAAGACAGCTGGAGGCTCGAGAGGCAAGGCTAAGTAAACAGGCATTGCATTGCACGTTTTACGGGCAAAGAGAAGTTGGAGCGTCGAGTGATTTTAGAAAACTACTTGCCAGGCACAGATGCTTTCAACACAGTGCAAAATTTAGAATCAGTAATGCCAGATTAGCCACGATTTATATAAAACCAAGCACTACAGTTTTTCTATTATTTTTAGAGAAGAAACAATTTTGGGTTCAGTGTCCAAATGCAGAAAATAACTCGAGCTGTATGCTGACATAACACTTGAATAACTCCAGCAAGAAATGTCACCTTAGGAATATCTCCTTTAAGTGGGGGCTAATAATACAATATTTCACAAGGAATACTGTCTGATAAGCAGCTGACTGGCTGAAGGCCAGATTAACAAGCTCACGAGTGGTAAATATAAAAGTTGTTTACCACAATTTAAAAAAAATGTGTGCATCATTGACAGCCATGAGGAGTCCCAGAGTGAGTCCAACAGTGAGCCTTCCTTTTGCGGGCACGTACACCTGTGAATATAAGTGTGTGTGCATTTACACATTCTCAGTACACACACTCAAGATGAGGTTACTCTTTCTTAGACAATGCAGAGAGTTGCATTCGTATCTGAGGAATTTGGCCCTACTGTTGTTGATAAACTATGAATTTCCTCTCCAGCTGCCTCCTCAAAATGCTGTACGGAGAACTAGGGTAAGTAATGGATTCAATGGTTAGAGGAGAAGCTCACGAATCTCTCCAGTGGAACGAGACGGAGGAGCACCCAGGGCTTCCGCCTTCTCATGTGCATTGCCATTTCCCTACAGACTGGTTTTCCAGCTCTTTCAAGAGAGTTCACTTCTGGAACGTGGTGGCTTTCGGTGTTTCTTACTTCTGGATGCCCGAGGAATGGTCAGCTGTACATCAGGCTGACTGCTGCTAGGCGTTTGTCATTTGTCTTACTAAATGCAAGGAGACACCCTAGTGGAGGCCACCCTCACAGCTCAGGGCCTGCCATGTGGTCCTTAGGGCTTGGCTGTAAAGCCACCCAAGAGGATTTCAGGAGCTGCCAGGCAAGTTTGGTTTGCCCGACTTGGGGAACTGCAGTGAGGTCACATAAGCCCCTCATTAGACAAACACATGCACATCAATCAGAAACAACCACATTTGCGTCTCCGGAGATTGCTGATCTGAGAATAATGTCCTGTGTCTCTGATTATAGAGCCCACCTATTGTTATTAATTGCTAATTCGTATTTTACCAAAAAAAAAATACAGCATTACCATCTACTTCCAAGGGGTAAGGAATTCTCTGCACTACCCTCCACTCCCTCCACACTTCCAGAGCCTAGACACCTTGAAGAAGTTTGTGTTACTGTTTCCAAATTGACTATTTCTAACTATTATCTTTCCATAAGGGATGGTTCACCAGGTCAGTGATGATGTTCTTTTTGGACCGTGTTCCGGACCCCTTCTCCCTCCCTCGCATCAGCAAGAAGCCAGGTTTCTGCTCTACCTATGGGAATCTAAGATGAGAAAAGTTGTCTCAGAATTTGCCCAAATGTCATTCTCACAAGAAAGGATACATTTTTTATAAAAGACAATAGTTTCAGCAGAACTCAAACAACTGGACACAGCAATAACTATAAACATTTTAATGCCAAAAACAAAGTTGTGTGCAAGTGTTCTGCAGCACAGTAAGACTGCTTGGCCTGGAAAACAAGTGTGTGTCCCTGTGAAGCATACGGGAGCCCCGGGCGAGCCGGAGCCTGGCTTGTGGTAGAAAGTCGCCC